TTTTGTGCGAAAATAATTCTAGTAATCTGTGTGTTTTTATCATTATTTACATAGTAAACATTAACTCATTACTAATACTGAAGGGTTATTCCTACAAGGAAAAGAATCCATGGTCACATCGACCGTATCCCCATTTCTGTTGCGTTAACATTCACTTTCTGCTCCATCCCTCAGGTTTTGGTACCATCAGATCCAGGGATGTATCAGATCCAGGGACATCTGGACAGATGAGCCAAATAGAAAAGGTTCACATGCCATTTATTCTACTAGCATATTCTGAAATTTTAAATTGGTGTCATATCTGCCAGGAACCAGAAATAACCTAAGGTCTACAAGTGTTTTCAGAGTAAGAATTTACCCTCATATATGCCCCAATACTTGTCTGAACGCTGGTAACAACATTTTCCAAAGCTGCTTCTATACTAGCTGTATCACAAACTTTAGGAGAGAAGGGACAAAACATCAGGCTGGTCATCTTTTCTTAAATGCTGCCATACTACAGTCACAAAGATAGCACTTTTATACCGTATTAAAGTACGGAAATCAAAGTTAGTTAAAATCACACTTAAAAAAAAATACATTCAAATTGCCTTAAAAACACAACTCTCACAACTTTTATTTAAAATTAGCCTTGAAATCTTTTCATTTATTTATGCTGCTACTGATGGCTGATGTTTATCCGCCAAACGTGAAGAATAGATAATAGACTAAACCTATGATCTTAAAATTCAATTCATTAGCGTTTGTAAGAGAGGCTTCTCACAAAACTAAATGCCAGGCTTTCCTCTTGATGTTTGTTCAAGATTTCTGACGGCTGATCTTTACAAAATTATTTGAGGCCAAATCTGTCATGACAAGTCTCAAAACATGGCATAAAAACACTTTTAAATATTATTCTTGTAAGTGTACAGATTTTTCTCCCATTTTCAGCGCAAAAGAAAAACAATTTCAATCCCCCATTAAAACACTTTTAATTTGAAATTGTAAGTACTAGAAATCAACAATCTAACAAAACGACGCAATACGAGATATGAAGCTTCATAGCCCACCTTTCTTCTTGACTGGCATTCTTCCTACTTCTGAATCTGGTTGCAAGCACTTATTTACAGGTATTAACGACGTACTACTGGAACACTCTGCGAGGTCAGGAACTGGCTATCTATTGCAAAACACTCCTACAGTTCAGTTAGGAAATGCAGCTTCAATCTTCATTTCTATCAATACTTGCTGTTTTCTTGTATTGGACTTCCGATGCTTCCCACAAATAAGAAAAAAAAGGGGGAAAAAAAGAAGCTTTTTGATTTTTTTAAGAGATGTTTTCAATTTCTTTAAAATATATTTGAATCTATAAAAATACAAGAGAAAATGTTCCTTGGCAATATAAAACCTTATTATAACTCCTCTTCTGGCAGCAAAGTTTGAAAATTAAAAGGTTTTATGTATTACAATTAAGGCACAGTCCATCTCTAGGCAGCCGTCTCAATACTCCACCTGTACATGCTCAAAAACATATTATTTGCAGGACAAAAACGCCCAAATAATCCAAATAAGGAGGAAGACAAAAACAATCCAAAGTGACTCTTTAAACTTCTTGCACTTCTTGAACGAATTTTGCTAGCTATGCATTAGGTGACTACCCAGCAGACTGAAAAGGTCCCTTTTTTCTCACCAGACAACAGCCTTCAAATATCACCCTCTTACCCAACAGAAGTCACCGGCCAGTCACTTTCATTTTTATTATCGGCAAGCCACCCAGCCTTACGGTCTTTAACGTCCCTCTGATCCTCCCATGTATTAAAAGAGAGGATTGAAAACCAGGAAAGCAATCCCTTGACCTGGAATCGTTAAAGTGACAGTGCTGCTGGCGGGGCACTTCGGCAAAGCAGACTGCTTTGTACCGGAGTCATTGGCTTCGCGCCATTTCTTCCCTTGCACGGCAGCCACCTCGCGAAAGAGGAATAAGGAGAGTTAGAAGAGCTTCACAAAAGGTTCGTTTTCAGAGATAACGAAATGTTAAGGAAACAAAATGCGAGCCATGAGATCAGTCCGGTTTCCCACTCAGAAGCGCAGCCGTCTGGCTTCAGCTGAAGCCTCTCTCTCTCCCCCCCTTTTTCTGGAAAACAACAAAAAGAGAGAAACAGAAACGGGATAGATTTTTCCTCATCTAGCTCGTTAAGAAAAAGTACGAAAGAGGGGGCCGAGCTCGCACGGCTTCCCTTCCCCGCCCGAGGAGCTGCCATGCACATGGCGGGGCTTTGCCTGGCACCGTCTCCTCAGGGCACGCCAAGAGGGTTTGTGAGGGGGGCGGCTCTGGTTTGCCCCTTGCTGGTCACTGTGGGGGCC